TGCCTATCTCCACCTTCATGCTCATGCTAAAGATAACCCTATTTATTTCAAAATCTTCTATACCGCTTGTGTCAAGTGACTATAATATAATAGAATTTCGTATCATTTTTTCCTATGTTGCATCCCTGTCTAACGAATTTCTCAATTTTCTTTATGATTCTCGCTTATTGCATCGCGTTTTTCTTTTAATATTTGGTTTTTTTTTAAGGAAAACTATGTTGAATTTTCCTTGTTTTGCTCTATATTTTCAATTGTATGCTTGATGTTGCATCAATTGTATTTTCTTTTCATTCAAAATTGAGTTTTGATTCCCATGTTTTTTTCGGTAGTTGGTGTCGCAAATACATTAATAAATGCTAAAACAATTTGTTTATACATGAATATGTAAGAAATTGTCAAAGTTGATTGAGTGGGATTGCATGAGTTATGACTTGACTATTCCAAATTGGTTTAGGGACTCGATTGCAACTAGGTTGAAAGTTCAACGACACACAATGTTATTAGTTCGATACATTGACATTTCTTTAGTTTCGATGTACATGCACATTAATGGAACCCAAACAGAGTGAACTAATTGCTTCTTAATTATTCAAGCCATAACCTTCATGTTACTATTTTTTGGTTCTAAAGTACAGTGCAATGGAGCTATAACATAGAAAATCAGCTATGGTATGGTGCACTAAAGTAATTTCCATTAGTTTGGGAGACGATAAGACACAGAAAGCGACATCGATAAAATTTGAAATTAGATTGAAGTTAGTTGACAAATTAAAATTTAGCGACCCAGTTGAGAAAGTTCGATGATGGCTGATGAAATTTTACCCTCCCAGCACAACAAGAACCTGCTTTAAACTTTCTGAAAATAATAATTTTTTTAGTCCACAAAAGTAATTATCAACATAAATTTAACCAAAAATAAGTAACTAAAAAACAAATTTCTCACATTCAAGCACAATCGAAGGTGCTAAACCCTGCTATTTTTCTTATTTGTTTCTGATCCATTTCCAATCTCACTCTATTGGCATCCGTCCACTTCCCTGCTGCTGCATATACATTGTAAAGAATCACATACGGCGCAGACTCTTCCGGTTTCGTTTGCAGAAGCAAACTACCAATTTCCTCCCCGAGAACATAATCTCCATGACTTAAACAAGCACCCAACAGTGATTCAAGTATATTTGCAGAAGGTTTCTGCGGTAAATTCTGGATAAGTTCACATGCCTCATTCAAATCCCCTGTTCTACCAAGAAGGTCGACCATGCACGCATAATGTTCGTTCCCAGGCAATATGCCATCTTGTATCATTGAGCTGAAAATAATCTTGCCTTGTTCGACAAGACCAGCATGGCTGCAACTCGATAAAATACTCATGTAAGTAATTTTATCCGGTTTAAAACCCCTAGTTCTCATCTGTGAAAAAAGTTTGAGTGCAGCTCCACCATCACCATGCACCCCGTACCCATTAATCATTACCGTCCAGGAGAAAGAGTCCTTTTGTTGCAACGCATCAAAGAGCATTCTTGCAGAAGAGAGATTACCACATTTTGCATACATGTCGATCAACGCATTGCTTATTGCCACATCTTTGTCGAAGCTCTTGTGAAATAGATAAGCCAAAATGGAATCTGTCAAATGCTGATTATTCAATTGAAAACACGTCGAAATGAGGTTCAGAATTGTTACAACATCTGGCTCAATCTCCCTTTGGAGCAAATCAAGGAAGAAAGAAAATGCTTTTCTGGCATTATTTGAATGTAGATGTGCAGTTATAACAGCATTCCAAACAGATATATTCCTCTTTTCTCCCATATGAAAAAGCATCAAACATGAACTCACATCGTCAAATCTAGCATACATGATCATGAGCGATGTAAGAAGAGGAGTTTCGAGTGGGATACCCATTCGAAAAGCATAAGCATGAACTGATTTTCCCTGAAGAAAGCTGCAGCATGCAGGTAATACATTCAGCAAGGTTACATAATTTGGTTTTTGATCCTCCTTGACCATTTGACTGAACAAAAAGATGATGTCATTTTGTAAATCGTGATATCGATAGCCAGTCATAAGAGCGTTCCAAGAAACGACACTTCTATTAGGCATGTACTCGAAGAATTCGCATCCCTCGTCAAGCTCTCCACAGTTAATATACATGCTAATAAGAGCATTAGCTAAAGAAATATCAGCTATTAGTGCAGTCTTTATAGCAAAGCCATGAACTGTCAACCCTAAAGCTAACTCATTGCAAGAGGGAAGGATGCTTATTAAGGTAATCAAGTCAAAGTGAAAACCATCTTGCCTCATCTGATGAAAAAAGGCCATTGCTTGCTCTGCTTCTCCATTATTTACACATCCAGAAATCATTGTGTTCCATGAAACTACATTTTTCTCGACCATTCTCATAAATATCTTGCACGAGTAGGCCAACTCTCTGCAGTCACAGTAAAATGCCAACAGTGCATTGGATGCATTGGGACTCACATCAATTCCCTGCTTAAGACTAAATGCATGGGCAGACTTTCCAGGCAGAGTGGCCCCTTTTTCCGAGCACAAAGAAAGGATACTAATAATTGAGATTACATCTGGATTAAAACCAGACATCTGCATTTGATGAAATGCAATCAAACCCGCATCCCAAAGTCCATTGCTTACATATGCAGAAACCATCGAATTCCACAACAGAAGATTTCTTGGGGTGGTGGTATTAAAAAGATATTCAGCTGAATCCACATCTTGAAGTTTGGCATACACTGATAGAAGGGCTGTGACAACAGAGATATGTTTCTCAAATCCGAATTTCATTACGCAAGCATGAAAGGATTCGAGAAGCAAAATGCTATGATGATTTTCACAAGAGGGAATTACAGACACGAAAGTGATCATATTAGGCCTTGCATCATCTAGTAGTATTCTTTGAAACAATTCAACAGCATAATCGGATTTCTGGTTCCTTGAATAAGCAGATATCATTGCATTCCATATAGCGACATTCTTTTTCATCAAAGAATCAAATATATTTCTAGCAGCCAACAACTCCCCAGAATTACCGTACATAGAAATAAAGGCAGGCACCAAAGACTCATTAGTAGAATATCCACATTTGAATGCAAATCCATGGAGTGAGTAACCAATATGAACACCAAAATGCAAGCAAACAGGAATCACACTGGCCAAAGTGCTGACATTAGGTTTCAAACCCATATTACGTATATCCCGGAAAACCTCAAAAACTCCTCGATCGAACCCATTAAAAGAATAACCAGAAATCAAGGCGTTCCAAGCAACCAAATCTGGTTGAGAAATTCTATCAATCAATTCACGCGCATTTACGATTTGGCCAATATTTGAATAAAAACCTATAAGGGCAGTCTGTATAACCACATTCTCTTCAAAACCAGTTCTTAATATAGCAGAGTGGATCATTTTACCAAAATTAACATTAACCAAAGCTGAGCACGCCTTGAGCACAAAAGGGTAAGTATAATTATCCGATAGACAACCTGAACCCCGACATTTCTGATAGACAAACAACACGTAGTCAAACAGCCCATTATCACACAGACTCCTAATTAATAAATTCTGCAAAGGCAGGCTCGGCTTCTCGATTATTTTGAAAGTGGAAAGAGCTATTTCTAGAAAACCCAGATGGCAGCAATGGTCTGTGAATTGCTTAATAAACTGTTGGTGTGTGATTAAGCCATGAACAATTAGGAGAGACTTTAAGGTCTTCAAGTCTTGAATTCTCCGGCAGAAGGGAAGTGTAGATTGAAAATATTCGGTGAGCTGCCGTGGATTGGATGAATTGCCGTAGATTGAATGGTGGAAATATGAGAGACGAGAGTAAGCGCGCCATGAAGATTTCAACATCGCTGAAACACATTTCTAAATCCGCAGTACTTCACCGTCTTTAATCTCAGTTACTCTTTCCACTTTTCTGGTCTCCACAGCACAAAAAGACCTCTTATAATTTTGTGAATTCCTAAATAAACATGACCTTGGTATCGTTTTTATACAACTTTCCTAAACTGTAAAACAAGATGCATTTGCTGATTATTGGACATTTTCAAGGATTCATTTACTTACATTAAAATTTTCATTATCATTCTTCTACTCATTTTCAAACGCACATACTTCAAGAAAATAATATTTTTCATTACATCAATAACTTTTCCTTCTTTTTCAGCAACGCATTCTCCATCAATCTACCATTCCAAAATACATTCTTTCAAAATAATGTGGTTCAAACACACCCTTAATAGAAATTTTAGAACATATTGACGATGTATGTAAAATGATCGATAGAGATTGAAATCAAGTTAAAGATGGTGCAGAAAATCTCCATGACGGGCCTCCATAGAAGATATCAAATTGAAGTTACACGTTCAATTTTCAGGCACAAACTTGCTAAGGACCAATAAATTATAAATGATGGCTTATTTTTTCATTCAAATTCCAAATTCCAAATTCAATCATGCATGTGCATCTCTCAATTAAACACAGAACACCAAAATCCAATTTAACAGCCTCAAAGAAAAAATCATAAACGGCACTTGCAATGAGGACACTGACAAGACATATAGAGCGTGTTTGTTTCCGATTAAAATTAAAAATGTGGTCGTTATTGGGTTTCACTCGTCTAACAAAAGTTAACAATAGTGGCTAATTTTTCAATTTTAATCTCTACCGAACACGCTCATAATATACTGAAAAAGAAAATCATTACAATTATTTATAACCTTTTATAGTTGAATTGCAAAACCCTAAGTTTTTGGTTTATAAGAGTGCAAAATCATAGTGTACAAATATAAAACATGATGGGAAACAATTTGCTTTTGATTTTCCCACTCAAACAAGCCGGCTAAACTGCACTAAATTACCAATCCTATGACCTTACAACCACCAAACTTTACGGTATCTTCAATCTCCTTTGAGACTACATTGTGAGCCATAAGAGTATTATAATTTTCTTTACTAGTCGCGAACGCATGGTACGCTATAGATGGTCAATTATAAACCCTACTATTCTCCCCGGACGACGCAGAAATCTTCATCCATGGCGCATTAACCTCAACTGCTTTTTTCATCTCTTTTTTATGTACCTCAGAGAAATCAAGATTCTCATCACGACCCCTCTTCTTCTTCTTCACCATCACTCCAAACAATTTCAAACACTCAACATTTTCGTCATTATCATTATCGATATTCCCACCACTCATGCCTCCGCTGCATGGACCAGCTTCGTCAATAATAGGGGCACTACCGTTCATGATCTGGTTGATTTGCTCTGGCGCCACCTTCACACATTGAGTCAAGAAGGCAATGAGTTCGTCGCATTGTTTCTTGGTTTGAGCCAGCTCCGAAGATAGCATACGATTGTTTTTCTTCAATTTTTCATTTTCATCTGATAAGTCTGCAAGTTGTGCTGATGTTTGTGTTTCTAATGACCCTGGATTTTTTGAGTCGGAAGATGAGGTAGAACTCGAGCCAAGGTCATCCCCAGAGTTCTCTGGCAAAGTTGGGCTATCGGCGGCCACATTCTTTCCCCCTGATGGATTTTGTGAAGGCATTGTTTTTCGACGACGGATTTTGATCAGGAGTTCCTTCTGACCACGCTTGAAGTTTTCATTGGCAAATTCCCATTTGTCTGGAACAGTCTTCCGAAAGCCCTGATAAACATGAGGGTATGTGTTACCATTTCGACTCGCAATTTCTAGGAACAAACTTTTGACTAACCCTACCCTAAAAATTTGTGTCAGCAAGCCAAATCCTAACTCATTATTGCACAACTTTAATTAGCTTAACATCTCAGTTAAGTTTTTATTATTATCTCAAAAATCCATCCAAATGGGATATGCACCAAATTTAAGGAAGTAAAACATTTATACGTTATTCAGTTCAATTCAACGTACTAAATGGTCTAAGAAAATGGTGATAGTTCTAGACAAGTATTCATCAAAAAGCAACAAAATAATTGGCAGCACTCCCGATAAAGAGGTCATTTATATTTTGAAATCTGCTACATGTACAGTCCTTAGTGGACTGTAGCCCACACTGATTAGTAAATCTGTGTATTGTCTGAACTTTATTCTCATAAATGATAATGTAAAAAGTCCACTCGTGCTGATGGGACCAAATAATGGACTAAACGTACCACTAACAAACATTTAGAGCCAGTTTGAATGTCATTAATTAAGAAAAAAAAAATGAGGTTTGAGTAGTATTTTTAAAAGAATATGTTGGTAAAAAGTAAGAAAAAACACACAAAATTGACCGCTACCACATATATTTGTACTTTTCCACCATAAATTCCTAGCGGCCACGTCAAGTTTAGAAAAGTCTGGATTACTTTCTAGCCGTCAAATCAAACAAAAAATAATGGAAGTTTGAACGCTGTTTTCGGCGACAACTCACCACTAATATAGGTCATAAATATTTATGCAGACAAACCCAGATCGGAGTACATATTTTCAAGCACATGGCCCCATCCATTAATCCCTCTCTCTCTCATTTTTCAGCCTTGTTTGACAATTATTAAAATAATTTTATTTCTTAGATTCATTTTTCTAATAAAATATTTTATTGAAAATTTATTCTATTATTTTATTTCAGATACCCTATGGTGTTTTGACACTACAAAATAGAAAGGTACAGAGCGGTTTGTACTGGACGGGGTATACATAGCAAAAATTTGGAAATAATCGCAGGGCCCGGACCAGCCCGTCACGTGGCCGTTTATTATTTTATTTATTTATTTATTCAATAGGATTTGAATATAAATAAAGAAAATTAATTATTCGGCCTAACCCAAAACATTTTTTCCTTGACAACGCGGTGAAGGGTCCCATCAATATCCTTTAAACCACATCGTTGGGTAGGTGAGAAAATGAAGTTTCAATCTTGGAAGTTTCTACTATTTAAAAGTCTACAAAATTTTCTAGTGTTCTTTCCACAAATTTTTAGTGCTTAATTGATAGAACTTCATTTAGGTCTGTTTGTTTTTTATTATTCTCAAATTCTACAGTAAATCTATTCTCATTTTTAATCATACATTCTTCAATAAAATAATATTTTATATCACATCAATAATTTTTTTCTCTTTTTCAACCACACATTTCTCATCATATCACTGTTCAAAAATCAATTCTTTCCCTAAAAATCCCTACCAAACAAGCACTTAAAAAAATTATCAACTTAATTTGTTAAATATATCAAATTTTAACTAATCAAACTTCGATTTTAACGACATAAGATTGAAAGCCAACGCTATTGGTGGCATACAATTTAAGTCAATCTGTCTAAGATAACTTATTACAACTCTCATTAAATTTATAATACATTTTTCTATCTTTTTTTAAACCACACATTTTCAATAAAATAATATTACATATAAACAATATATATATATATATATATACACAACACATT